AAAAAAAAAAAAAAAACCGTACCGAACACTGCCTCGTTTGCTGCATGTGGATCGCCTTAGCAGCCTTAGCCACTGTCGGGGCCCAAGTGGTCCCCCAAAACGCTCACTGTGTCGTCTACACAGACAGCTGCGGACAGGTAGACTCATTATTGTAACCAGTTTTTTACCCAGTCTCGGGTCTGCATTAGAAGCGCCAGACGCTGATTGAACAGGTGAAACGAGTTTTCGAGATGCATGCGTGGTAATGTGCCTGTGTTACCTCTCATTTATGTGTTCTTTTTTTTTTTTTTTTTAATCTTTTTTTTTATCTTTTTTTCTCTCTCTCTAATAACAATCTTGTTTGTCAATAACTATCCCGATCCACGTGGATCAGGAACCATTTAGTCGTGTGGTGTTTTTTTTGTTGGTGTAGCAAGAAACGAACACGTTCCACCCGTGGACGTGGACGAATTTCACATCCACGAATTTTTCGTCCATATAAGAAGATCCGTTCATATAGGAGGACAATTATCCTATCTCCACGGCCTCGCGACTAAAAAAAAAAAAAAAAAAAAAAAAAAAGAAAGAAAAAAAAAAGAAAAGAGACTTTAACTCTCGCGCAGATCGTCATGGTGCTTTGATGCAAGCCCGAACTTTTAATGCTGCTAACCTACAAGGTTAACAGGGGGGATGGTGGCGCTTCGATCGCTCCGAAGTTTCATTTTATATTTCATTTCACGTTTTATTTTTTTTCAACGATACAACGATACTTTAAGTACATTTACTCACGGGCAAGGGATAAATTTTTAAGTTCGAATTTTTATTCACGATTTCTTTTTTGTGAATTGAATTGGAACGATTGAACGTGATGCACCTGAACCTTCGGTAACTTTGGCTAACACGTAGCTTTTGGGGGTATCTCCCTCACGACTGCTCACCGCAACTATAACTGCGAATAACCACTGCCTTATCTGGTGTTTGTCTATTATTATTATTATTATTATTATTATTATTATTACATCAACAATTATTATTATTATTCTTATTCTTATTCTTATTATTATTATTATTATTATTATCATTATTATTATTATTATTAGTATTATTATTGTTATTATTATTATTATTATCATTATTATTATCGTTATTATTAGTATTATTATTATTATTATCATCATTATTATTATTATTATTACTATTATCATGCTATATTTCGAAAGCGTTGTCGTCACCCCCCCTACAAACAGAACCTTCACGAAGAAAGAGATGCACGCTTCTTATTCAGTAATTAGTACGAATACCTTGCCATTGAACGGTTTGCCATGTATTTTATATATATATATATAGATTATATACATATGTATTGTTACTATACATACTTATTATTATTATATATCTATCATGCCATTGTCTTGATTACGCTTATTTCATTAACGTTGCGCGTTAATTGTGAATAATTATTGTCGAGATACGTCTAATGCAGTCTTATGAGAAATTATAGACAGGATGCTTTGAATGGTGTTTGAACTAATGAGATTCGGTTTTGGAAATAAAGTTAAAAATATCTTCTTTTTTTCTTTTTTTTTTTTTTAATGAAATTCGTTTTATTCCATTTCATTTCTTTAAATGTAGTTTCAAGATTTATTATTTTATATAATGGTTGTTTTTATCGTAATTATTACATAAAAAATTACTTAATATATTTTTTATTACTATATTTTTATATTTATATTATAATTAGTATTAAAAAAAATTATCAAAATAAATTTTCAAAGAGATTTATTTAATATTATAAAAAGTAGTAACAAAAAAAAAGATAGAATCATTATTTTCATATTTTTCACAAATTCTGCATGAAAAATAATAAAAAAAAATCAATTTCTTTGTCCTCGTTATCTTCAAAAAGTATCGAAATTATTTCAAACAACATTCATCGTGAAACATCCTATATATTATTTTCTGTACCCTAAACCGCTTAAATAATTGAATTATCAATTTATCTTTCTCCCCATTTTTCTATGCATCTATTGTTTTTTTTTTCTTTTTTTTTTTTTCCCCTCAATTTTTCAATCGCACTAGACAAATCTCTCACAGTTATGGACCGATGTTACGTAATGTCCGAACGTATATTGCATGTATATTAATATTAATAGTTCCTGTATTAGCATCGGTTGCGTGTCAATCTCGCTTCGAATACCATCGAGCCACCTCGAGACTCGCGAGCCTAATAATATTATCTTTGACACGGAAACATAATTTGATCAATTTTGTCGTACAAATTTGATAGAAATGGTGATTTTAACGTGTGAAAAATGCGAGTCGAAAACGTGAGATTTTCTCGTGAAAAGTTTCGTCTTGGAGAAAATTTGATTCCGATATATAGTAATCAATTTCTAATTCATCGTGTATACATATTAATATAAATTAATTTTACAGTCCAAGAAATTTTATTGCATCAAATTTGATTTAATCATTTTAACATTTAACATTCAATACACTAATGCGACGTTGCCTAGAGAAAAATAATAATTTTAAACCATTTACTAATCTTGAATTTAACAAAACTAACTTACGGAAACTGATTATTCCGGGAAGAAACATTTACACGAGTAAAAATTTCGTTCCAAATTTTCGACTTGCATTAAAAAAAAATCATCATCCTTTTTCATTTGTACGACCATTTTTACAAATTACCATCATACACCCTGCATATATCTCAACCCTTTTTTTTTCACGCGCGATTCTTTTAAAACAATCAACTTGAATTCCATAAAAAAAAAAAAATGACAATGGCGTGATCCTCCAAATTGAACCGTGGCAGAATACGCGTGTTTTAAGAGCAGCTAAAAAGGAGAGAAAAAAAAAAAAAAAAAAAAAAAAAGAAAAGAGCCATCTCGCAGTAGTAACAGTTTTTGTCAATTTTCGAAACGATTCTCCACGTGACGTGCAACACTTTTTTCTCCTTCCACTCTCTGGATACTCTCCAGACTATTCTAATTTTACCGCTGTCGCCAATCGAAAACACGGAAACAATCCTGTCGCTTGCATAGAGAGCTTCTGACGCATTACGTAACCGAGAAAACGAATAATAATCAAAAAAAAAAAAAAAAAAAAAAAATTGAAAATATAACGTATAAAAGTAAAAAAAAATCGGGACCAAGAATCAAAGATGCGTGCCCGCGGAATCTCCATATTTTTTTTTCTTTTTTCTTCTTTTTTTTTTGTTTTTTCTTCTTTTTTTTTTTTTTTTAATGCAAAACGCAGGGAACAGAATTGACAAAGCTTTCCATTCCAAAATCAAAGAGAAAGAAAAAAAAAAAGAAATAATAAGAAAAGAAAGAAAGAACAAACCAGACGATTCATGGTTGTCCGCCATTTTGTACCTCTCACACGAAATCTCTCTCTTCGAAATCGAATAGAGACCTATTAGAATATCTCCAAATACATATATATATATTTTTTTTTTTTTTTTTAAATACTCTCCCCCCCTTAACATTTTTATCACATGTTTCCTCCATGTTTGAAACTTGATTTATTCGTGAGCATATTACACACATATATATATATATATATATGTAATATATATATAATCAGCTCTGTTGTTATGGTTGCGGAGTCGCAGTTGAACCTAGTGTTGAACTTATTTGCAGTAGAATATTATTAATTTTTGACAGCTTTTATACGAACATTATCCCATTTATCCACATTTTTTATACGAATGCCAATAACCGCTGACTTTTGTCCAGCCACCACCAACGGGGGCGGTTTGGTTCGCTGGCGTGGATACCCATCCCGCCCACCGTGGATATACTTTGCCAACCTATCTCTCTATCTGTCTATCCCACTTTCTTATTCTATTTATATATCTATCTATATTATTCTCTATTTTATTTACGTAGCTTTAGTAGTGAGTGGATGTGTGTGTCTTTTTTTAAGTCTTGTAATAATTCACGCACGCGAACCAAAAACCCTTTCGGCGGTCCTCTCAAGTCGGCTTTTGGCAGCACACGAATTGCTTGGGTGATGAGGAGGGGCTACGTTGTCTTACTCGCGATCCTCCTCCCCTTGAACGAACGACCACGTGAACAAATTGCGTGAACTCTGTTTTATTACCATCTGTTGAAAAATCTCGCGATTAATATAATTTAATTAGTCGGGGGAGGGGGATTTTTATCTTTCTCCCCTATTCTTTTTTTTTTTTTTTTAATTTTTTTTCTTTTTTTTTTTCTTCTCTCGTTTTCTCTTTCGATATAATTCGCGATATACCCTCAGGTATTTTATCGCCGATTTTATCGGCGAAAGTGATGAAAAAAAAAAAAAAAAAGGAAAGAAGGAAATATCGAATCGAATCGGGAAATCTGATCGATCACCCAAGCAGAACGAACCAACCCCCCTTCTCCCGGGCCATTATTTGCATGACCAGACTCTGTGTTTGTAGCAAATTATCTCTTACGCAGTTGCAAAAGTTATTACATAGTTTATTATTCTTACTCTTGTTATCGTTATTCTTCTGATTATTATCGATTAGTCCTCGTTATTCTATATATATATATACTATCTGTATCCATCATTATTCGCTATTTATTATCATTTGATATATCTTGTTTATCTCCACGCGTAAAGATTGTTCGTTTACAATCATTTCTCTGTCTTTTTTTCTCTCTCTCTTTTTTTTCTTTTCATCAATATTATTATTCTCTGTTGCAGTTTCTAATTGGTTATCGTGTAACACACGAGAAGAAATTCGATCGGTGATCGCTTTATAAATCAAGAAGAGGTTTAATTCCAGTTGCAGTTTTTTCTTTTTTTTTTATTTATTTTCTTTTATTATTTTTTTTTTTATACTTTGTACAATTTTTTTTTATTTATCTGTTTTTTATTCATTTCAATTCCTTTTTTTTCCCCTTTTTTTTTTTCCTTTATTTACACGTATATTTTGCACGCTTCTATGGTGAGCCTATGGTATTACTTTTTTCGCCCGCGAAATTTAAATGTTTTAATTCTCTGTATTACAATTGATCCATTAAGCAAACGATTCGTTTCTATCAGTTTTCCTTTTCGTTATTATTTTTTTTTTCTTTTTTTTTCCTCGTTGATTTTCTCTTTTATTTTGTTCGTTTTTTAATTTAATTTTTTTTTTTTTTAATATATATACACATATATAATATTCTGTCTGGTAGGTTGTTAACCGCTTCTGACCTAACGTTTTTTGCTAACACCGATATCAGTTCTCTGGAATTTGATGTTTAATCTATTTTTTTTGCTGCATTTGTCTATATTCATATATTCTCTCGGGCATACAACTATATATATATATATATACATACATCAGATAATCTTTCCCTAGATTCGAGTGTACGTGTGTGTTTCTGTGTGTGTGTACATATAATATGCATACAACTTTCGCTCGGGGTTAAACAAAGGAACGGACATTAGTAGTATAGCTTGTCGGATATTTTTTGCTTCATTTGAGGCTTTTTCTTTTTTTTTTTATTATTATTATTATTCTTTTCATCATTAGAATATTCCTTTTTTTTTTCCTTCAGTTTTTTAGTTTCGACAATCTGGAACTGGCATTTTCTTGCGTCTTTTTTTATTTTTATTTTTTTATTTTTTTATTTTTTATTTTTTATTTTTTTTTTTTTACCTTAATGCTAGAGATAACTCTTCCAAGTTTGACTTCTTTTTTTATTTTGCTCGTAGAATGGATAAAAAAAAAAAAAAAAAAAGAAGAGAAATATAATAGACAAAAATTCGAATTGACGAAAATATATAATATAGGAATCATAGCGAATTGATATTCGTACGTTCTTCGATCGTGCTCGTATTATTATATATACATACACAACAGTATTTTTACGTATTACAATTGTTGTTTTTTTTTTTTTTTTTTTTNTTTTTTTTCATTCTTGCTGCAACCAGGTTTTTTACGTTTTTATGTCATTGTTCAGCATACTCGTTCCCCGGTCGAGAAAGTGAGAAAGACAACAAGGACGGGGTCAGTTTAGACGAGCTTACGATCGTTGCTTCCCTGTATATTCCACACACACAGATTTTGTTAACATTAATATCTTCAGTCTAGTCGTTGTGCTGAATGGCCCGCTGAGAAGAGGGCTTCCAACATTTGATTCGCAAATTGATCGATTTATCTGTTATCGTGTACAGAATAATTGGCGTCAATATATTAACCCAAATTTATTCCAATGGAAAATATCATTTTTCCGTTTGATTAATCTCGCTTCAATTTTCTCTTTGTTGCGTTTCTTTAATTAAAAAGAATTTGCGAATCAAACGATCCTCGTTTATAGGCACGCTCCTTGCACACAAAGTGTTGGGAATGCTAAAAAAAAAAAAAAAAAAAAAAAAA